CGGTGTCTTAGCAGCTTCTGCAACGCTTGCTATAAGACTTTGCTGCTTACCAGGAAGAACAAGATCAACACGATCTAGTTTCTCCCTCTCCTGTGTTTGATCCAAACCCATCACCATAACAACATAATCAACCTCTTTAGCTAGCTCCACTGCTTGTTCAACTTCAGCAGATGAACATTCAACTGCATTGCACCCTGAATGATACTTTATATTCTCAACATAACTTTGCAATGCTTCGAGAATTGTTGTAGTTTTGCAAGGAAAACCTTCATAGTTACCAAGAAGAACTTCAGGGGAATTGGCATTGGGGCCTATTACAGCAAATGAATTGGTTTTGGCTTTTGGCAGTGGAAGGAGATTGTTGTCATTTTTAAGGAGTACTATGCTGTTTTGGGCAGCTTCAAGTGCAAGATTCTGATGCTCTTCTGAGCAAACTTGTTCTGGACCAATCTTCCCGAAAGATCCATCTATCCTTGGATCTCCATCGAAAAGGCCTAATCTCATTCGAACAGAAAACAGGTTGTTGAGGGCTTGATCTATTTCTTCTTCTGCAACTTTTTTCTGAATGATTGCTGATTTGGAATACCGTGGTGTGTAAGATCCACATTCCACATCCATCCCTGTAATCCCACCAACACACCGCAGGAAATGGTAAATATTTCTTACTTTTCAGCTGTTATCTATTTTCTTTCAAATCTCAGTAGATTAATGAAAGGAAAGGCTCAAACACAACACAATTAGATGAATTATCAGGCTGCATAATTTTTGGTTGGTTGTTTTCAATCATAATAATAAATTGCTTGTTTTCACTGTATAAATGCTTACTATCTTCAAATATTTTGATAATATTTAACTAAGGTAGCTCCTATCTGAACTTATTTTGACTCCGAAAACAAAGCATCACTTTAGATATACCTGCACTTAGAACAGCAGCAACTGCATCTTCTGGTGTTTTAGCATATTTCTGTTGCTCATAAATTATTGGAACTGCATTACAGTCTGAGACTATGTACCTAAGAATCAATATAAGGATTTCCAAAAACTGTCAAAAAATGGAGCCACTGTTTAGAGTAGTTAAAAAAAAAAAACCATTTAGAATACAAAATAAATGATATATACATGTAAGCTACCCATCAAAATGCCATTGTCCTCTAGCTGTGTCTGTTAGGAAATCATGATGAGCACAACTAGGGATTCCATTCACACGATTATACGCACACATAATCGAGCTGGCTTGACCTTGTTCAACACAACTCTGAAACGGGGGTTGGAACGTGTCTGCCAAATCTTGCTTAGACACCTTCAAAACCCACATAGGCAGATACAAAGAGTAAAATACTTGGCCAAGGGTAATACAAACATACATAAAGGAAACAAGAGTCAATGATGGTATCTTTTTACCTCTGCATTGAAGGTATATCGAGTAATCCCGTGCCAATTATCCAAGTCATGAGCTGCGAAGTGCTTACAGCAAGCAGAAGCTTGAAGATGCTTTGATATCTTATCCCCTTGGAAGGTATACCCTTGCAGCCCTCTAACATAGGACACTCCATATATAGAAGTCAGCAAAGGGTCTTCTCCAGGGGTTTCCTGTCCTCTTCCCCACCTTGGATCCCTAAATATGTTTATGTTTGGTGCCCAAAATGTCAAGCCTTTGCCTTGTCCTACATTGAACATCGCCCTTGCTTCAGTAGCAATTGCCTTCATTCATACGAAAATTTCAAAAATTCACTTACATTTTACACAGAAGTGTGATGATCATTTAAACTAAGCGTAATAGGACCACAACAACAAGCCTATTTATAAACGTGTTAGTTAGTTGAGCTCTGAGTTGTTTAAGATCACCCAGCTTTTAGCATACAGTTCATCATGTATGACCTTGATTTCCTTTCCTTGAAGGAATAGTTTAGAATTCTAGTTATTGGCAATAGAAAAGCTAGCTATATGTTTAAACTATGTTGATGGTGCAATTTAAACTAGATTAGTGACAAATAATTTTGAACAACCAGATTGTACATTTTTCGATTGCGGGGCACAAGAGACGAACTTGTTCCTGATGATTGACAACCCTTTTTTTTTTGTTAAGATACATAAGGAAGCACACAGACATTCATACCTAGATTTTGGTATAGCTCCCCAAGACTCTGCATTAGATAGCTTTCTTGTAGACAATAACACCAATTTGCACAATAGTCATAGATTGTGTTGATGCTAAGGAGTTTGTGGCTTTGTTTATAGTCTAAATTACCTTGATGTGTTTCCTTAGTAATGGAACTACAACTTCAACATTTCATTTATTCTCATTACCACTCAAGAAATATGGATGATATAGATTTATATTATCATGAACACTTACCCAAAATAAATTAGACTATTATTTAGTTTTTTTATAACCCATTAAACTTTGACTCATTTGAGTAATTTTCTTCTTTAGAAGTTTGTGTTCTCATACATAATATTAGAGGTGACAATTGTATTATTCTAAGTGCACAATTGTATGGGTCAAGTTATATTCAGAGGAATCTTTCTAGTTTGGATTTAGATTAGATATCCTTTGGATATTTTCTATTTCAATTCCAATTCCAATTCAAGCCAATTCCAAATATGGGTCAAGTAACGTTAGTCGGATATGTTTAATCAGGTCTACATAACATTAGCTAGATTACTAGTAAAAAAAAAACATTCATTTTTACCTTTAATACGAAGTATTAAAAATTCAATATTATAAAAAGAAATAGATTAATGATGATAACGTAACTCACCCGTGCAATACGATACCAAAGTTGAGCATCAAAAGAAGAAGCGGTAAGAATAATCTGAGGAAACATAGTTGCCGCTTTAATAGTAGCAGTTCCATTAAAAATAGTTCCATTTCTAGCAAACGTACCATTGAACCGGTACCCACGGCCGTGTCTTGACACCCCATGAAGTGACTCGGACCACCACTCGTAAACAGGGATACCGAGTCGTGGAATTGGTGGGACCGAGTTGGTTAATTGAGCTATCTTCTCGTCTAAACTGAGTCGACTCACAAGGTCCTTGACTCGTTGATTGATGGGTAATTTGGTGTTTGCAAAATGGGTAGGATTTTGTTGATGGGTTTGATGGGTCACAAGCGAAGAGGGGAAGAGGTGGGACTGAGTTGACTAGGGCGAGTTGGAGGAGTGTTGTGATAACGAAAAGGTATGTGATAGTGGGGAGGTGAGTGGTTGCTTCACTTCTTTGGCCACTCATGGTTGTTGCTAAGTGGGTGCTAACTGATGCTAAGGAGTGAGATAGTTATATATAGAGGTGTGAAAATCTGAACCAACCTAATCCGATTTGATTCGAAAGTAACTTAAAACAAATTTCGATTTATATGGGTATAGTGATTTGTATGACTCAAACTCAAACTAAACTCGTTTCGACTAGCCCAATCGAACTAGACTCAGTGACTCTGAATTGACACATTTTCACTTGTGGAGTATACTAGTATTCCTTTACAAGTAAATGTAGTTTTTATGTAATTGTGTGGTATTGGATTTATTTTAATGTCAACTTTTATAATATCATATAATACAATTTTTTGTGTAACAAATTTGAAAATATTTAAGTTTTGAAATGGTGTTAGGATCGTGACAAGTCAAATGAGACAAACTAAAAGGGAGTTGAAAGTGTTGAGACATCTATATTATGTGCATTACTATTCTTTTAACTAATTTAATCTCCTCTTATGTATGTCAATATTGTAACCTAATGAGTGATTTTTATTAAACTACTTGAAAAACCAGTTGTCCTCTTTACCATTAATCCATCTTCTTGACCTTGTACTTTTCAAATTTGGGGTATTAAAATTGATAATTTAAGAATTTATGATTGAAGTAACCTTTATTTACATCATTAGTAATTAATCCTATATTTTATTTTATTCATAATTGAAAACTTTCTTCTTATTCAAGTGATCATATTACAAGTAAATTTTAGTTCATGGCCTCCAATATTTTTACTTTGACTCCTCTCTACGATCCGCTTTTGTTTGCTCCTCTCTACGATCCGCTTTTGTTTGCTCCTCTCTACGATCCACCCATTTACCATAATAGATAACCAACTAACAAATACACTATACACCCTCCGTTTTAAAATACTTCAATATCTCCATGTGCCGGTTTTAGGAGAATTTAGAAAAAGTTTTAACGTACGGAGGTAATGGGTTAGGGAGAAGAATAAAAAATTGTAAAAAACAAAAGTAGTTGAGGGAATTGGAGAAGAAAAAAAAATATGATTTATGTTGGGTCTATAAAGTGAGATAAATTAAGTATTGTAAAGAATTTCCAAATAAGGAAATGAAACAAGTACTACCTCCGGTCCACTTTACCCGCAACTTTGAGAGGGTTTGCGGAGGCCGAGGCAAAACTTTTAAGGGGGATTTAGAAAAAGTAAGGGTATGTAATTAGGAGTTAAAATTGGAGGGAAGTATTGTGGTCCCCTTGTATTGACTTTTTTAATGGGTTGTACTTTAGTGAAAAGAGTGGGAAATTCCCACCAATTTTTTTTTCCTGCTAGCAAAGTGAGGGGCAAATTTTATCTGGAAAAGTTTTTCCCTCCCAAATTTTCCCCAAAATTAAAATTTTCACACAAATTCCCCCAAATTTCAAATTTTACCATTAAAAGCAAACAAAAGGCCCTATATAAACCAGGGCATCCCTTCCAATTCTCCAATTTCAAAAGGCAAGTTTTAGGAGAATTGGGGAGGGGGGAGGGGGGAAGCATAATTCAAGTACCACCAACACAGAAATTAGTAAACGTAGTACAAAATACAGGCAGCCCTAACAAATTACAAGCCATCTAAACTTAGATTAGTTTAATCCTAAATCAGTGAGCAACGTTAGTAGATGCAGCTTCAACAATAGGCTCTGTTGACTACAGTCCAAAAACCACCAGCCGCCACTTCATCACCAAAAAGCAGTCCTGAAATTTTTTCAAAAGATAAGGGACTCATGGGAGAGTTCGTACACGAACTTATGGATGAGTTAATTCAACAAGACCAGCTCATGGAAGATGAGTTAATCGAACAACAATTCAACCAAGAAGAGTATGAAGGGACTTCTGATTCAGAGCATGAACAACAACAAAATGATCAAGGCAATGATGGTGATGGGTATGATGCAGATGATGATGCAAATCAAGAAGAATTACAACACAATTGCAGAGCAACAAGAAAGATGACAGTGGAGCAGAAAAGAGCCATTGTTGAGGAGATTATGTTGCACATGGAGAGGGACTCACTGCCAAGAGGCTTTTTAGCCAATTTGGCAAGAAAACATTCAGTGCACAAATCTACAACAACAAGATGGTTTCAGGTAATTAAACAATCTCTAGCTGAAGGTATTGTTGTTGATGTTAATACCAAAAAATTAGGCAGGTAAGGGCGCAAAGCAAAACAATACACAGATGAATTTCTTACATCTGTACCATTGTACAAAAGAACAACTGAAAGGGGATATGCTGGAGCATTGAAAATACCCAAAATAGCATTGCATAGACTAAGGCAGCAAGGCAGGCTGAGAACACACACAAGCACAAATCATCCAGCATTGACAGAAAAGCACAAAGTGGCAAGACTTAAATGGGTTTTAAGTCTAATTAATCATGTTCCAGCAATTGGGGACCCAACATTTAGTGATATGCAGCAATGGATACATTTAGATGAGAAATGGTTCTACATCAATCCAGAAACAAGAACCTTCTACCTACTTCCAACAGAAGATGATCCTTACAGAGCTCAACAATCAAGGAGGTTCAAAATCAAAGCTATGTTTATGGGAATGATAGGTAAACCATTGTTTGATGCTGAAAACAACATGATACATGATGGAAAGTATGTCCTTTTTCCTTTTGTAAAATATTAAAGGGCCAAAAAGAAAAGCAAGAACAGAGATGCAGGGACTCTAGAGACAAAGGCAATT